CCATCAATATGTGACACTAAAAGGTTCTACAGACCTTGGGATATTTTTACAATATACCATCAATATGTGACACTAGAAGGTTCTACAGACCTTGGGATGTTTTACATACCATCAATATGTGACACTAGAAGGTTCTACAGACCTTGGGATATTTTACAGACCATCAATATGTGACACTAGAAGGTTCTACAGACCTTGGGATGTTTTACATACCATCAATATGTGACACTAGAAGGTTCTACAGACCTTGGGATATTTTACATACCATCAATATGTGACACTAGAAGGTTCTACAGACCTTGGGATATTTTACATACCATCAATATGTGACACTAGAAGGTTCTACAGACCTTGGGATATTTTACATACCATCAATATGTGACACTAGAAGGTTCTACAGACCTTGGGATATTTTACAGACCATCAATATGTGACACTAGAAGGTTCTACAGACCTTGGGATATTTTACATACCATCAATATGTGACACTAGAAGGTTCTACAGACCTTGGGATATTTTACAGACCATCAATATGTGACACTAAAAGGTTCTACAGACCTTGGGATATTTTACATACCATCAATATGTGACACTAAAAGGTTCTACAGACCTTGGGATGTTTTACATACCATCAATAAACAAATTTTCTGTTGTATAAGTATATCAAGTATGTCACTCTGTTAAATATCTCAAATTTATTCAGATAATTTACCAAACCCTTGCAGCCAGCCCACAACCATTGGTCTTTGTCATTCATATACCAATCATCAACACAAAAATATCACAACTTTCCATTAAGGTAGAATTTGTAAATTGAGAAAAAAATGTAAATGAAAACATCTAAAATACAGACCCTTTGAAAGACAGTCAAGTTGGTTATGTATAATGTTTATTGATCTGTACTCGAGTTATATGGCATCACCAATGACCCTTAATCTTGGCAACAGAAAATGCGTAATTGATGTACTACAAGGAATATAAACCAACAAAGCAATTCAGTGTATGAATCTGCTTTAGAATGTTTTTTTTTCCATTGGGAACACATTCAAAATATATTTGCCCTATAGTGGTTGGAGTACAAACAGAATTAATTGCCTCATCATTGTTTTTTCATGCAAATTAAATGGACTTTTAATGACCTCTGGAAAGTGACAGACCTAAACTTAGATGGACTAACCATCTATCAAATTTACAACTACTGAACCATGACCAAATACGATTTTAGACCAATTTACTGCAACCCAAATTCAAACTGAATTTGAACATATCAAAGTTTGATGTATGACTAGTAGTGGAGTTTACACAGGTTACAGCCAAGGGGTCTAAGGGGATGGATGACTTCCTATATAAAAGCACCAGATTGTAAAATGGTGCTTACCAATTGGCCAGACGTTTGTTTATATGCCAACAACTTTCAATTGTCCTGAATATTGCTACTCCTATGTTAATCTGTGATTATTTACACCCAATTAAACGCTAGGTCCTAGAATGCCTAGCAGTAGATAGTATAGAGATGGCAGTCCAGGTTTTACCTTTACAATGAAGTTTGATTTTGCACACTTCATTAGCAGTTTTGTTAGGGATACAAGTCCTTGTCAATGAAAATTGGAATCCAAGGAAATCTTTGACACTCTTAATAACCATGAATTACAGCTTTCATTTCCACATAAATTAGATACAGTGTAAAACTCAAGGTCATTCACCTGAACAGCTGTTCTAGCTTCAAACAGTTTTCTTTATGTGTCAAAATATATGAAATGTCAAACCAATAATAAAAATATTTTATTCCTGGACAAACAAGTACTTGTATAGCAGATGATTTCTCCATGGTGTTTTATTTTTGTTAAATTTCTTAAATCTATTTATGAGTTTTGCTGTGTATCGAAAATTATGAAGACATGAAAAACAACATATCTTTTTCATGATTTCAGTAGTTTATGAGTCTAAACTAAGCAAAATTATGTAATTTGTTGAAAACAATAGATATAAGTCATGAATATAACAAAGAGAAACCTAAAATACACCTCTGAAATTGAGGAAGATAATTCCATATTGCCATTAACTACTGGTGGGTATGGAACCACTGTTATATTGATACCTATTTTTTTATTTACAAACAAGAAAGGACATACAAATTTGAACAGAGAAACAAAAATATACCAACGAGTCAAATTATAACATATAAACATAACTAAACACTAGGTTTTAACATTACAGTTGCATAGACTTTTTTTACTTAAAATTAGCTAGTCCTAATGCATGTCATTACCAAATGACTCCTTCACAAGTTAGAGCAGTGATACTTCCAAGGTGTCTGACATCCCAACAATTGAGATTTGTCCCAGCTAACTGTCAACTAGGAAACCAATGGAAGGGTTCCTGACACCTCTCACAAAAACACTGTTGGATTGTCCACTATACCTGACAGATCAGAACTGACCATTACAAGAAATCCTAATGGCCAGTTAGTGTCCAGTTGTCAAGGCCAGTGATGGACAAGCCTTAATTAGGTCTAAGGTGGCCAACTTAGTGAATTATCATCATCATTACACCAATCCAGACAAAGCTAGGACATATGGCCATATTGACCAGTCTGTAGACATTATAGGTATAGGGTATCACAACTCACACTCTAGATGAGCACAACCAGCTGACTAAAGCACTATCACAACTCATACTCCATAGCTGACCTGGGCAGTATCATAACTCACTCCATATATGGTACTCACAAATGGCTGACCAGGGAACTATCGCAACTCGTCACACTCCATATACTCTGAACCAGCTGACCTGGGCACTATCATAACTCACTCCATATAGGGTAGTCACAATTTGCTGACCAGGGTGCTTTCACAATTCATCATATCCCATATACTCTCAACTTCCTGATCAGGAAACCATCACAACTTATTCTATCTATACTCACAACCCGCTGACAAATCCTTCACTGAATCATCACCTCTCAATCACAATCATATAATTACCATGTGTACAAGATATTCTAAAAAGCTGAGTGTAAATACAGTAAACTAAGGCCATATTTTTTACTTATATTAAGAATATTTAATCTGCAAGATTTCTTTTATTAGGATACAATGAAACTCAGGATTTAGTCCAACATGAAATAACGTGATCAGGAGGACACCTTTCATGCAGTATGCATCATTATATATGCATTTGTTGGCAAAACATTTTTTGTAACACCCAAATTAGAAAATTGTCATTAAGAACATTTAGATTTATCATTTAAGACCTTGATAAATTATAATGAACAATGAAAGATTGAAATTGAATCCCAGACAGGCGTGTCAACCAATGTAATATCACATAAAGGAATGTGTCACAAACTTTCCCGTCAATGGATTTTGGTTACCAATCAATACCTCAAAACTGACCTGCAGTGGTAATGAGACCAGAAAAAGCCCTTCTATCCTGCGTCAGACTAGACAAAAGTCCCAAATAGACATCCCCTAAACACTTGGTTATCACGAACACAATCCCTGTCAGGTGACAATACCGAGACATCTTCAATGCATCTTCATGAAATTAATATGGAATTAAATACCTGTGATTTGTTTATCTGAGCCCAATCTTTAGTCGACTTTCACAATTCTGATCAGTTAGTTTTCATTATGACATCATTACCACTACACTATACTTTGAAACCTGATGTCTTTGCCTTTACACTTTTCTATTTCTGTGTAACTGAGTGTGAAAGCCCTTTAAACTTGTCAAGTATTTTGCCTTCTCCGATTACATTACACATTTAATTTCCTCCGAAGTGCCCCCCCTCTCCCCCTCCCCATTTACCCCTCAGGCCCTATAACTACCTGGGATCCGGTTAATCACTAACCTTTAACTTCTGTCCTGTAGTCATTATAACCCAGTGAAACAACACCACATCATTGAGTCTATTTTACCTGTAATTTTTACTACCAATACTGTCATCTACTAACCATAATAAACTATTAGATCATATGGCAATCACACTTAGCAGTATGTTGTACTCATACAGAAAAATAAGATATCATGTAGTATGTAGTACTCGTACAGAAAAATAAAATATCTTGTAGTATGTAGTACTCGTACAGAAAAATAAGATATCAAGTAGCATGTTGTACTCATACAGAAAAATAAAATATCTTGTAGTATGTAGAACTCATACAGAAAAATAAAATATCTTGTAGTATGTAGAACTCATACAGAAAAATAAAATATCTTGTAGTATGTAGAACTCATACAGAAAAATAAAATATCTTGTAGTATGTAGAACTCATACAGAAAAATAAAATATCTTGTAGTATGTAGAACTCATACAGAAAAATAAAATATCTTGTAGTATGTAGAACTCATACAGAAAAATAAAATATCTTGTAGTATGTAGAACTCATACAGAAAAATAAAACATCTTGTAGTATGTTGTACTCGTACAGAAAAATGAAATATCAAGTAGCATGTTGTACTCGTACATGAAGAAGGAAACATCTTTGTTAAAACAGCAGAGACACATTGATATTGACCGACACTACTCAACAGTTACAGAAATAATTTACTCCAGCTATGAGACAATAATAAAATATGAAATTATTAGTAAATTTACCAGCTGTGAGATATATTAGAATCTTATCAATTTCTTGCATACTTGAAATGATTAGACTACATGAGGAAGGAATATTTATCCGTGTATTTAACAATGTATTTGATAAGTTGTTGCAGGGAACCTCTTTAATTAAGTTATTCTGATCAGACAAAAACATCCAAGAGTTCCTAGTTTCGTAAATAACTACAGCATCACTGGTTTCCAATAATCACAAGGTCAACCACCACATTTATCTTAACATGAAGGACAACCTTGCATTGAAACACAACTATAAAGGATTTGGAATATGTTACACACAGTAGAGCACTGGCCAGGTTTTTTGTGGAAAATCCCTCAACAGCATTTACATGTAGGAAAGATGAGGAATATAGTCTAGAAAGAGCACTCGCTGGTTACCTACCATTGTGGAAAACCTTGCGTTGGCGTATGAGGGTACCAAGGGTATCATAGAGAACCTGCACACCAGGTGTCTGGAGGTCACAGAAACATTGTGTGAGGCGGGTGTGGATGACATCCAGTGTGGCTACAACCTGTTTACTGTTGAGGTCGAGGATCACCAAACACAAGATCTCAGGCAGTGGTATAAACTGTGTCTGCGGAATCACCTGCATCTTAATACTGCCCACATCACCTGTAAAAACAAAATAGATCACAATTTAGTGTCAAAGAGTGCAATCAATCATAATATTTAAATATGATCACTTACACATGGCTGTCAGAGACCTTAAATACTGGAAATGGAATTCACTACATAAAAAGATTCTAATTACATATATGTACCTGTAATAAACATGTGCTTCAGTATATCACCTCCTTACTATATATCCTAATCATTTCTCATGGCCTTTTGTTTCATTTTCACACAGGAACCTTGGTTATATCTTCAATTCCATCTCGCAGTGCAATATCAGTATATTTAAGTGGTTAAGCACTATAACTATCTAGAATAGTTTTCTTCAAATAAAACGATCATTTTTTTGAAATGATAATATATTATGTAGTAAAATATAAGTAAATTTAAGTATGTTTTAACAGAAATCAATAATTTAAAGTCATATGTTAATATCATCATTATAACTATAATATAAGAAGGGAATAATAACCACAACATACTCAAGAGTTACCAATAAGTAGAATTTTACTTGTCGACTAGTTTCGACCCTATCACAGGGTCTTCATCAGGACAAAAATATACAAAACTTTTCCCCTAAAGTACACTTCAGGAGGATAAATTTTATCTGTCTATAACTGCCCTGCATACCTCTGAGGTATCCGTACTCAACACAGAGTTCCACACTAAGAAAACCCACCAATCTCCACCTGACGTTGGCTCCTCCTCCCTTGATTACTTTATAACTATAATATGTTACAAATCAAATATCATGATCTATACATCGTTTGTTAGGGAAAATATTGGACATCAATGGGAAAATGCAGCTTCCTAAATCAGAGATATAGCTCTGCTACAGCCTTATGTTTACTGTTTTACTCCATCAAAATCACTGACCCAAGAAAAGTTACTTCTACAGAAAATATGTTTCATTAGGGTACCAAATTAACCATCCACTGACTGTTGTCATGGTTTATACTGTCAGGCCAAACACCCATAATTTATCCAACATTAAACACAATAAATGTTTTATACTGGAAAGCAGGACGAACACTAAATATACCCTTGTAGCCAAATTTATCTCGCTTCTGAAAGCATTTTAACTATTCATAGTTACTACATAGTCAATAGACATTCCTTTATAAACTTATGTGTGGTTCTATATAGTAATTACAAGTTGGACAAACCTTTCTACCTGAAGAATAAAGTTTTTTAATGTGTGTGGTTTTAATTCAGTATTTTATAATTACATCTTTATCAGTTATCAATATCGTAATGACCTTTCAAATGTTATCTTACATAGTATCAGCTGCTGTTAAAAAAATGAAAATAATATGCAATTTTATCTGCAATAATGAGACCACTAAATACTGATACAGTATCTTTACATCATCTGTAGTTCATATTGGAAAATCAATACTGCAATGTTTTCATATCAGCAATGAATAAAATTTAATTACATTTCTTAAACATCATTCAATATCATTGAAGTGGACATCACTTTGTATATACGGTGGCAAGCACTGAAGGATGAAACATGTTAAAACAGCATTTTAAAGCCATCCTTGTACCAAGAGGGAATTCAATTACAGCATATACTTGTACCAGGAGATCAATACAGATTTTATCTGCTTTTTACTTTCAACACTGACATATAAAATTGATCACAAACATTTTAGGTTCTGTACATTCCCTGTATCGGCATACCTGGAATCTAGAAATAAATCAGGTAGACAACGGAGCCAGGTAACCTGACCAGGTAAGGAGTGATAAGGCAGCTTTATAAACCCAATCCAATTACACCACAATCACCACAATACCTCTAACTAATTTCATGATAATGAAATTCTTAATAAGAGATCTTAATCTATTATTCTACAAATTCCACCCCGGGCTGCCACTCTCCATTGTTCACCAACAGATTACAAAGTCGAGAGCCACGGTTTACTAATTGACAAGTCAAATTTCACACACAGCTTTTATAGTGCGGCATCTTTGGAGGAGATTTGGATGCATTAAGCTTGATATTAAATATTCTGTATGTGTGAGATTACATACTTCAGCTCTCCCAATCCCCCTAATCCCTCGCTGTAAGTCTAGGTTACAAAGGACGTTAGTAAGAATCATGTCGCTTTGTCACTATTAAGTTAGGAGCGTCTCAATAAATATGGAGGTACAATTTATTTTTGCGGCAACCATTGAGGGTATTTAATGTGGAGTGGGAATATTCATGGAGCACTTCAGACTCATCGACTATCATTTAATGCAGTGTATTTACATAGCCAATGTTTAATATATTTGCATCTTAAGTACTGCAGTCCTGTTGGTGCAAAAGGTATATATCTAAATTTCAGGTCATAAGGTATGAACTCATGTGGAACTTTGAAACATAAAACAGTGATTCGTGTGTTTAATGTGTTTACATATAACTATAAAGAAAAAGGATTATTATATTGACTCATCAAATACACACTACTGCGATATCTATTTTTGGAAATTCCACAAATTTTGACAATATTAAATACACATATATCATATCACAAAATCAGGGAATATGTAAGAAGTAGGGAACATTTGTAAAATATATGGTTTCTCTCTCTTGCTTTGATGGATGTGGAACCTCACAGCCTCCAACTGTTGATTCCTAAGATGCCAATTTCAATACATTAAGTGTCAGAACAAGGAGACTAATGGTTTTCCACCTTTCAGATCAATTACCTTAACAATGAAATACACAAGTCTAGCCTTGTGACAGAAGGCAAGGGATACATATACAGTTCAGCTTCCTGCAGTATGACATTGGTAGTGAAATCAGGATATTTACAAATTATAAAGACACCTGAACAATATGTAATTCACAGGATTGTAAATGACATTTATCTGATGTCCTCTTCAGTGTCATAAGGTTACCATGGGAATGGAAACAGTACATTGTCAATTTGGCGTTCTTTCAAAAATGGAACAGAATGTGTTAACACCAGGTACATAAATGTATTGAAATGCCTACCTGGTATTTATGGTTGACATATAACACATTATGCTATTGCACTAGCATACAAAAAGATTTTTGATGTTACCATCCAAAAAAAATTATCAACTTAAAGAGATGCCATAGAAGTTTGTTAAAAGTATTGAGGCATATAAATGTTCTTTCTCAAGGCAGGAAAAGGGCAAATTCTTCCCAATGAATGCCTAAGGCCATTACAAAAAGATCAAATTTTTCCCAGCTCCTAACCAGTTCAGGAGGGTACTTTGCAGCAGGCCTTGCAATTACTTTCAGTTTATTCTCAGGCTGAAACTTCAAATACATGTGTAATAACACCAGATGAAAAAAAATCTTCAGTTAACGAAATTCACCTAGAACAAACTTCATACTAAGGTCATACGGTGTTGTGGTTCATCTTCCAGGTTTACTTGATACAGATAGATATACAAATCCCCAACATATAAAAAAACGAGGAGCAAACAAGCAAGGTTTCCAGGTAGTGTATCATACTTTCTACAGCTGGTTAATGCTGCCGACTGCAATTTTGAATAACAATTGAAAAAAGAATATCTGGAATACATGGCCGGGCCCCACACACAAAAACAGATATTCACTTAAATGGTGTTGCTTTTACACATTGTTGCTTGACATCATAAACTTTCTTTTAAAAGCTAGCAAATTACATGGATACTAAGATATGCTTTGGCTGAAGTTAAGGATATGTTTTCATGATATATTTTGGCAATGTTTTACCAAGCAGGAGAAATTGAATCGCAAATACACAACTAAAAAAGATATTCATCTCAAAAAGATTTACCTGTGTGAATTAAACACAGGTATATAGAAGAGAAACATAAGCAAACAGTTAACAATGTTGAAGTGATTTACTCCCAACAGAACTACATACACCAGGAAAGAAAAAGATGACAGAGTTCACACGTGCCAGCTCACAACAACTGTGTGTATATATATCAGATTGTGCACTCTTGACAAGACATATACAATTCAATAAACTGAACATAAATCAATGTATTTTTTTGTATATCTGTTGAATGGCCGACATAATCCTTATCAGAGTGCAGGCTGTCACTCAATATAGTCATGGATAGGCTTGTATAGACAGCCATCAGATCTACTATATAAAATGATCAGACTTGATATCAACACCTGCAGCCTAGCACTAGGCATTTTTGCCTTAACAACTTGATGGTAGTTCAATGTCAATATTAATTTGCATATAACTTCTACATAAGAAATACATCTACTGGTTTAAAAAGGTTTTGTGAAAAGAATACACTTCAGAATATTAACATCTATAATTTTTATTATTTTTAATTAAGTCAAAAAGATTTGGGAAGGAACTTGGCCTGGTACTGTTATCTGTACAGGTTTGTAGTGTCTGAAACCTTTATTCTTTATAAACATTACAGGCTGTTCACTGAATGTTACTAAGGATTTGGGGAGGGACAGGATGTCAAGATTCCTTATAAACCACATTTAGAAGCCTAAGCAACATTGTAACGAGTAGATTGTTTGCTGGTGGTCACCTGAAAAATCTATACCTGTATCTTCACAGAAACTTTACAAAACACAACTCAAATGTTAAGATGTATCATCTTTAATGTTCAAGGGCAGAATTTGGTGTAAATCTATTAAATGAAATGGAAAAGTGATCTTCTTGATTTTTTACATAATTTCACGAGCTAGAAGTATACGTGGTCATCCACATAAAAAACACCTATATTTCATTGCAAAAACTAGATACATATATAAAAACTAGATATATGTATTATGTTCACAAAGACCATTATTGATTTAGATTTACAACTCTCTTAGTGTGAAATTATTGCTTTAAATTTTGTTACAACAATACATGTTTAAGTACCTCACTGTAAACCTCAGTTGGTAATTATCTGAAACAGCTAAAATTGACGAACAACCTGGATGATATTCCACAATACCTTAACAAAGGTACAGTATTAATGGTTTGTGTTCTACATCCATGTCAAACAGACAAAATCACTTTAAGACATTG